TTTTCAATGTAGTCTCCCGTGGCCTCAATACACCTGTTTGGTCGGGAAACTAACTTTTCAACACGCTCTGGAAAATATTTTTTCTTCTTGTCCCCAAAATGTGCATTCAATGCTGCTTTCAGCTCTTGATTGTCAGAAAAACGCTATCCATTAAGATCTTTTTTAAGGATGGGGAACAAGAAGTAATCACTTATCATTTCCCTAATTTTCTTTTCGTTTTTCACATTTTTTAAAGTCATTTTCTCAACATTGTCGCATCAGTCATTCTGGTCTTCCAATGGTAACTAGAATGGCATTGGTGTTAACTAACTGAAATTTTGTATCTATACCCTCAAGGAGTGTCGTTACCTTTTGAAATTGATCGATTTAAATTCCTTCGTCACTGATAAATACCCCGATACCGAGAACTGCTTTGAACGGTCCCCGTACTTGTCTCAGAGAATTGATACAGCTGGATATAGTGACTTTTTGAAAAAAATCGAATGCTTGTCATGTTCTTGTTAACCTCATTTTTCCCAGCTGAATTTTCATCTCGATTTCTCTCCTGAAATTCACCTATACTTAGAAAAATTATTGCAATCATTTTAAGCAACATTTCTGCATCTACGCTGGTCTTTGGCTTATACCTCATTTAGTGACAGCTTTTTTCCTAAGTGTGCTCGCTATGGACAGGATTTAGATTCCTAGTCTTTGCAGAGATGATATCCAACGGCCGTTGTCAACCTTGCAACAAAATCTGCTGCAAGGAATAACACAAGTGAGTAGCTATCTGCTTGTACTTCTTTTAGTTCATTTTTGTGGCTTAAGAGTTCTTCGAATTCTAGTTCAATTCTACACATGACTCCAAGAACTTCGAGATTTCTCTTAGAGTTGTTTATATAATTTTTTGCACTTTTACAAAACATGTCCGAAGAAGGCAGCGTCAGGCTGCGTTTATAATTTGCGACGCCGGATAGTAGAAGAATGCATTGAAAAGGAACTGGGACCCGATCTAGTGAATAAAAAGAATAGATGAGGAGGAGCGTATCGGATGAACACGAGCCAATCAATACTTGAATAATCAGTCGAGTCCTATTCTCTGATTCTTCCATTCTCCTAACCCTGCTGGGTCGATAATTATACTGTCACTTGACGAGCATTCTCTTGTACTCCGATTCTCCTGTTTTACAATGCCACAAAGTATGGTCGCGGCCCTGCCATTTGGTAGTGTGTAGTTATTCACAGAACGTCGGCACATTCATCTAAAAGTCGACAAGCGAAGAATTACTTGTATTGTTGGTGTGGGGCCAGTGCCTTGTATGGGGGCCCATTTAGAGTTGCTTGTGCAAAAGAGCGTAGTTACAAAATTTTAGAGGGCATACCTGTAAGATTGTCGAACACAGTAATTAGAGACAGGCTCTGCATTGAAAAATTCCGAGTTGTACGGCTCAAATATTAGCGACAAGATGGTAAGTAAGACAAAGGTGGAGAAAAAAAAGCAGAATTCAGCCCAAAAATGCCTCGCATATAACCGCATGCCGAACCACTCCTGCGCCAGGAGGAGAGGGTGGGTTATCATTCCGTTGATGTTGGTATTTCTATTATCTCTTTTCCTTTTTGCCGTTCGAAAGTTGGGCGCTTCTACGTGCCAATGGGCGGGGGACGTTGTTCTTCGCAGCGGGTCGCGTTTTCCTCTCAAAGTATTAGGTTGTAAGGAAAGTTCTCAGCGTTTTGGGTGTTTCACTTTAAACGATCGTAACTTTTTAATACTCATCGGATTTAATCGAAATAGGCACCATTCGAATCAGCACACTTTTGCCAATGTGACAGCAGTCGAGAAATCCCATCAAAGTAAAAAACTGGGTGGTCGAAAATTCACGAAATCCACGAAGGCTTTTTTTTGCCTGGTCCTGATTGATGAAGTATTTTCCAGCAAGGGAGTTCTGAAAATGTTAGAAAAGGCGCGCTTCTGCGACGCGAATGTGGAGTCGAGTTGGGAACGGCGTGAAGAATATGGCGTTGAGGTAGAAGTTCAACCCCAATTCGTTCAATTTATGGATAGTGATTTGTGAAACGTGTGGGCGGGCGTTGTCATGCAAAGGAATCGGACCCTTTCTTTTGATAAGTGTTGGCTGCATCTGACAAAATTTTCGGTACAATTCGTCGATTTCTTCACAGTAGGTTCTGCTGTGATGGTTTGGCCTGGTGATAAAAAGTTATAGTGGATCACACCAGCCGATGACCACCAAGCCGTGACCAGAATCTTTTTTTCGTGAGGGTTCGGCTTTGAAAATTACCTCGGTGGTTCGTCGAAATCCAACCACTGTCCGGAACGTCTCCTGTTATCATACATGACCCATTTTTCATCACAGGTGACAATTCGGCCCAAAAACAGGTCGTTTCTGCTGCGCAAAAGCAATGCAGAAGGAACCTCGAGACGTGCCGATTCCTGCCGGTCACTCCGATTGTGGGGCACCCAATTGTCGAGTTTTTCACCTTCCCAATGCGTTCCAGACCATCTGCAACAGTGGGATTTGCCAAGCCTAGCTCTTCTGCTATCTCTCGAACTGTTTGGGATGGGTCAGCCTCCAAAATCCCCTAAAATCCTCGTCAGATATTGCTTTAGGTCGACCGCTATGAGGTTCACCTTCAAGGCTGAAATCTCCAGAACGAAATTTGTTGAGCTGTTTCGATTGCGGATTGCCCCAATTTATAGTCGAAGAAAAAAAATCGTCCGAAGTGCTCTTTTCACATGCTTGAAAAAGTCTTGGAAAAATAGGGGGTTATTCAACATATGGTGTGAAACGGACAATTATAACCTTCAGATAGCGCAAGAAATTCTCTAGGATGTGCTACTGAGAAGCAAGGCAGAATGAGTTTTTAATCAGCAGTGAATGTACAAAAAATAGGTGCACAAAACGCTGAGAACTTTCCGGACAACCTAATAAATACTCATGCTGAAGGTAGGCTCTACCAGTTGCTGCAATGGATGCGCGCTGAAAATAAATGAACGTAGGCGGTGGCTTCATTTATCCTCAACAGTTTGATCTTATCACTCAACAGTTTCATCGAAGTTTTTAACGTAACCTTTCATGGTTCAGGATTCTCCAAACATTAACATGCGTGATTTCATCAATGAGTTAGAAGATTACGTGCCCACAATCCCCGATTCAGTTACTTTACATTTTATGCGATCATGTGGTTGCGATTGTTCTGATCCGCGAATAGTGAGGTGAGTAGCCAGAAATCATTTCTGATGGTATTAACATTTGAATTCTTGACTTCAGGTTGATCGCTTTGGCAACTCAAAAGTATGTCTCTGATATTATCCTCGACGCTATGCAACAGGTAGTTGAATAATTAATATAAAGCTCTCTTCTTATTTTTCTTGCATATCTTTGTGGCAGGCAGGGCGTATAACTATTTCACCTGTGTCTTGTCTGTATTGAGGGAAAGAGCTGTGAATCTATCGTCCTTCGGGGTGCCCTCATGCTCCCGACTTCTACTCAGAACTGCATGCGATTAGCCTACATGATAGTTGGCGAGGGTGGCTAACTTAGCCCGAATGTGTTCACTCATCCCTTCTTTAAAATTTGACACTTACGCGCTATAACGCCGCAGCTCAGCGCAAAATCCCCTCGCTGCGACGTTTCTATGAGCTAATATCAGTGAAGACAAACAATTGTTGGCATTTCTTTGTAGAGTATCTTGTACGAGATTCGCACATGATACATCGTCTCTGCACCTCTTAGCGAACGCAACGACTGCGTGAAACTGACGCTGGAAATATGGAAAATAATAATAAAACGTGGCCGCGTTTTCACCGTCGCGACAGCACCAATTGAATCCAAACGTGGGAACATCTTTGAGCCTGGCTACGCTTCAATCCCCTGACTATGGTGTAGCATACATATAGTGGAAATCGCTATTGGTTTACCTCTGCAACCCGCCTTTAATCGTAACAAATGTCACGAAGTAAGCTGCTAATTTTTCACGGGGAACAGGTTGATCTTAATCCCAAGATCGCGCTCACACCTTGCGGAACTGGAGATTCGAAAAATTGGCAAATCGCGTAATTGGGACATCGTGAGAGGGATTGTGTGCCTATCTTCTAGCTGAGGATTAGAGAGTCGACGCTCCCCTGATTGTCTCATTCCGTAATGCGCCACAATTATGTGCGCTCTCAAAGTCAAGTTGATTGCGATACTTCTATCGGGGTACCTGCTATTCAGTGCTGCAGTTTGCGCTCCGAGAGTTGTCCCATGAGCTGGATCATGAGCAAAAGTCAGACTCCAGGCGGGTTCTGAACTCGCCTTCACGTTTACCGAGCAAGTGTGCTATCATTTGTGCCACCTTAGTACTTAATGGAAAGCACACTCGCCCAATAAATGTGAGGTGCGGGTTCGAGCCCCATATTTTTGCCCATAGCTCAGCGTTCTTTTGATTGCAATACTATACGTGGATACTGGGATGTACCAAGAGATAATCACGCTACGTTATGGATCGCAGCAGCAGTTGACTCGGAAAGCTAGTCGGGCACGATGAATTAGCGAAACAGCATCCATCTGAATTGGAATGTAGGACAGTAGAACGGCGATGGCTTCATCATTGTCGTCGACGCCGTGCGCCGGAATGTGCGCGACGTCGCGTTTTAGGTCCTCTTGTTTCTCCATCCCTTATGGTGCGCCTTGCCGTATAGGAATTTTCCTGGTTAGTGCAAGTGTCTTTGCAATTTTACTGCCATGAATTATACGCGCTGTCTGATGGGCGCGGCCTGATAAACCTGAGAATACCCGAAATAAATCCGAATCTGAGAATACTGAAGGAACTTGTTCAGTCTAGGCTCAATATTTGAATGTTGTTGGGGAAGGAGAAGGGGAAACACGTGGCAGCGCTCTAGTGTACCTTCATTTCCTCAAGGCTGGAGTTGGCAGAGTGCAGACGACCAGAGTCGTTGCGGCGAACAGCTTAGTGCCACTGTTCTTACCACTGTAATGGTGTAACGACAAGGAATTTCAGGCACGAATGAAAGGTCTCGGACAAACCAAAAAGGGTACTAAAGAAACGCGGTATTGTTTGACGAACGATGTTCTAGAACCAGTTCTGAAAGAGTACGGGATAGACTTCATTCTTCCGCCCTACATGCATTAGGTGCAGCCGGTGTTAGCATTGTTAATAGAATTTTACACTTCATATGGTGTCCTAATTTTATTTATTTTGCTTTCTAATGTGTCTAATTATGTATAGTGATTTGTACGCACGATGTTGTGTTTTTGTGTGGAAATACATGTATGCATCCTATCTTTCTTGTACAGCTGCTGAGTGATAAATATTATAATTTTGTCTTGTTTTTTCACTATATCACGGCTGTCCACACTCTTATATCCTAGTGGTTTGTATGGTAATAATTCAGTATGATTCCTGACTTTCAGAGGCGGTAGGCGCAATGACTAGGGGGTGGGGCAGTAGTGCTGCGCTATTGGTGGGGAGATGTTGAGCCACGCCCTTCACTTTAGCAAAGATTATGCGCCGACGCCATCCCACCAATGACGACAGAGCCGCAGCCCCGCCTCCCAGCCAATGCATGCACTGTTTTGAATCTTAGGCCACACTTCAGATCCACGTCGCCTGGAATTCTATGCGATTAAGCGAAGGCTTCGAGGTCTTCGGCTGTGAACATGTTTCCTTTGCGATTGATGGTTCGCCGAATGTCTCATCTTGCGTCCCGATTTACAGGACGAGGTGATGTTCATGTCGTAGATCCGACGGTCGACCTTAGGTGGGGTTTGTTAAGTAGCGGTTTAAACCCTTCCCAGGTAACTTGGATCTTTCTAGGTATATTTTCGAAGATATGGAGCAGTTGCGACGTGCACTGGAGGAGCGCCGTAGTGATGTCAGTATCTCGGAAGTGAAGGAGAAATATGATGCATGGTGGACAAAATATCAGACTTGGAAGGAAGCTAGTAACTCATCCAAGGTCTCTCTTCTTTCTATTCCATAAATGGAATTTTGTTATTATTCAACTAGGCATACACTATTTAAAAAATAAGGCCACATTTGCGGTCTACTTCTAAGCGATTAGACGAAGGCTTTGAGGTCTTCGGGTGTAAGCATGTTCCCTTTGCGATTACTACCCTAAAATGTTGGGAAAATTTTTTGCTGAAACTTTGCCTACGGGTTACTCGATGCCCTGATCACGTATGGCATTCATCTTTGACGCTGGCGCCACTAGGCGCCTGTGAAGCGCTGCCGCTGTCCTCATCGAAATCGGTGTAAACGGCTACACGGTAAACTGGTTAGCGTCTGCGCCAAGAGTAAATGTTAAATAGTCTCCGTACACAAGTTTTGATCGATTTTGGTGGTGCAGGGTCCTTTGGCGCGGGCGCCAAGCCGATGTGTCATTCATGTTCAGGGGGACAAACTACACCTGGTACAACTTTTCAGGCAGTTCTACCCTCGTAGAGAAAAGTAGTTGGAAACTGGCCCGATTTTGGACGACTGGGGTAGTAATAGCTGAGTGACATAATTTTTCAGAAGGTTTAGCCTTGTGCGATTGTCGTTATACATAAGAGCTCAGACCAATTAGGAACAAACCCAAGATATCAGAAAAAGATAGCACTCGAAACACAGATGGTCCGTTTCGCCTGTTATCCAAACCTACATCCTAATTATTCTCCCAGCACTCTTGTCTTGCTGTAAACCCGACGTCGTTGTATAATTCATTAATGTGCTGTGCCTTTCGAGGTTTTCAGGTGGAATACTCATTTAAGGGTCCAACGTTTCGACGTAGTCTTCTTCAGAGGCCTAAACGAGTTGAGTTGGGGAAATGAACACTACCCAACCATCCCTAGCAGTTCCAGTGATGTGTTTGGAACTCAACAAGAAAATCCTACAAAGTGCGAAGAGCGCACTGTCCAGGATTCCACCGTAGATCCGCCGTCACATGCGGATGTTAAGTAGTATCGAGTGAGACATACAGTGGCGTCTCCATATATGTACAGAATTAAGGAGACGCACGTAACACCGCCACTTGTAATTCGCATTATGACTTCATTAGCTATTGACGGACATTCATATGGGCTTTCATCCTAAGATTCCTACGAATCCAAAACGCCTCTAACACCCTTTGTTTCGTCTCTTGCGCCAGTATTGTACACTTAAAGGTACTTTTTGCGATAAAGCAAAGGTATGATCTCTTAAATGTATCAGATGATCCGGAAGGTGATTCTGGAGGGTGTGCCATATTCAAAAAGCGGAAACTGGCAAGAACTCCGCTGGGAGCTGACCAGTTAGGCCCATGAGTACCCCTTAGGCCCATGCCGACCCCCACTGGCTGCTAGCTACTAGCTAGTAGCCACTATGCTATCTCTCTCCATTCCGAATGGTGAGAGTGAGGTGATAAGATAAAGAGTGATTGTTATGATAGCAACGAGTGGAAATTCGTACAAACACGCGTTTTCTTCATTGCATGCACGTACAAGTTGGGGTCGGCATGGTGTCCTATTTAGGGCATTTTGGACTGCTTTTTATGCTTCTTTTCTCCAGTAATCAGTTACCCAGCACTTTGTCCTTCGCATTTGAGCTCCGTTACTAGCAGTCTACAGTCGCAGGCTTTGCCTTTACTTTCAAAGTTGTTGCCGTTGTGCTCCTCAGTTTTATGTCTACCCAGCGCTGTCGCGAGCCTACCCCGCCTCATACCTAGAGGTATTCCCGTCTCTCCAATATAAATGTGCTCATACGCCTAGCATTCTATTTGGTAAAGCACACCTAATTTTGCGCAATCATCAAATCTGCCGTGTGGACAAACGATACGTTTTGATATGCTTTATTCATCCTAGAGCTTTTCGAACCCGTTGCTACTTGATGTTGCCGTCAGGGATGTTAACTAACTGAACGACATTTTGCAACTGTGCTCTAACAATAATCCCCTTTATTGCCGTGTTTATCGTATCAAAGATGAAAGAAAGACATAGCTGTAGTCTATTCGGGTGCGGAGCTTCTTTCGTATTACTGCGCTGTCTACACTGGCTAACATCCGCATGTGACGTCGGATTTGCGGTGGATTTCTATCATTTTGCACGATTTTCTTGCTGAGTTTCGAACACATCATCGGAACAGCTAGGGTTGGGCGCTTGACATGGTAGTGCTCATTTCCTTAATTCGAATCGCGTTCAGGCCTCTGAAGAAGACGACCACGTTAAAACGTTAGAAATATTCTACCTGAAAACCTCGAGAGGCTCAGCAGCATTAACGACTACATCCTAAAATTCCGCTAAAGGAGCACTCTTAGTGCCAGTTGATGTTGTAGGCTTTCTGTGCAAAAGTAGGCCGAGTAATGGGTGCTCTCAGATTTCTAGCTTTCAGCAAAGATATCATCCCATTTTCTAGGGTATAAGGTACACTGTCCCTGCGAATGCTCCAGAAAACTGTTTTTTTTTTATTTGTGCGTCATTGCAAACAGACGTTTCTCAAATCCCAGAAAGCAGGGGATTGAATTGTAGGTTGCTTGGCAGATCATATTGCAGCGTTCTATGAAGCGTCGTATGTGCGACATTCAGCAATACCTAACTTATTTCACATATATATATTGACCCAGTTATATAGGGAATACTGGATATATCGTTATGGCATCCCCCCCCCTCCCCCACACCGTAAATCTCCCCCAACCTGGCTAAGTTGTTGATTGACGGTGGCCTCAGAAGCTCGCTTTCCCCTTATTACTCATACCTTGTGTCCCTTACAAGGGAATGGTTTGAACTTCCCATGGAACTTTGAATGGAGACCTAGGTACATCGATAGAGCCTCGAATGCTGATTACGAATATGCAGATTAAAAGTGCTACGGGGACCTCCCAGACGAGATCTGGGTGGTCAAAGTTTGAGTTCTGGCTCGTAAGCGCTGCTGATCGATGCCTCGGCAGTGCCACCGTGGCCTCGTGGTAATGGTCTCGCTTTCAAGTCAAACGCATGCGGGTTTGCATCCGGTTGGCGCGAAAATTTTTGCTTCGCTCCGTATAAGAGCTTCAACTCTAATTTTCGAAATTCTTCCGAATTTACGGCCCAGCAGGGCAAGTAGATCAAGTACATCAAGTATACGACGTACTCGATCTAGTATGGATTTGGTCATATCTGCCCTCTGAACATATTACCCATCCGACAATTCAAAGTTTTAGCGAGAAATTCGTTCATGGGAGATTTCGACCCCCTGAACACGACACTTCCTTCGACGAAAAAACGCTCGTCTGGCCAAATTGCGATTCTGGGCAAAACTTTGAATTGTCGGATGGGTAATATGTTCAGAGAGGGCAGATATGACCAAATCCATACTAGATCGAGTATGTCGTATACTTGATGTACTTGATCTACTTGCCCTGCTGGGCCGTAAATTCGGAAGAATTTCGAAAATTAGAGTTGAAGCTCTTATACGGAGCGAAGCAAAAATTTTCGCGCCAACCGGATGCAAACCGCATGCGTTTGACTTGAAAGCGAGACCATTACCACGAGGCCACGGGGCACTGCCGAGGCATCGATCAGCAGCGCTTACGAGCCAGAACTCAAACTTTGACCACCCAGATCTCGTCTGGGAGGTCCCCGTAGCACTTTTAATCTGCATATTCGTAATCAGCATTCGAGGCTCTATCGATGTACCTAGGTCTCCATTCAAAGTTCCATGGGAAGTTCAAACCATTCCCTTGTTAGTACTTCCTCAAATTCTCTATCTCTACTGCTCGCTGTATCGAATTACATCTACAGTTTAAATGCAACGCTCTTGCTGAGGAGGGGTATATCTCGTTGTCTACTTATAGAAAACTTGTTGTCAGTGTCGCTTATAGAAAACTGGGCTTACATAGTCGTGCTTATTTACTCTAGCTCTTAGGTGAAGGGTGCAAGTAATATTTAGAAGAGACAAACGCTCGCGATCGCCTCCCAGAGGTTGTACTGCTTATAACCATCGGTTGTTGTAAGTACAATGCTAAAGAAGATAAAAGCAAAAGAACTCGTTGAAAATGCCCTAAAAAGGCCTCATGTACGGGATTGAAAATGGACGAGTTAATCAAACTTTGGGCGAGTTCTCTGAATCTAATCGCCACTTGCTGCGACTCATTCTCCAAGGCATATTCGATAAGATTAGCAATTATCACCGCTAACGAATCTTGGTAATGAAAAAATGATCGAGGTGGAACTTGTTGACTCCGCCTTCATAGGCGGAGTCAGCTTATCGTTGCTGAGCTGTCCACTTTTGGCAAGCGCTTTTGAGCCGCGATAGTGGGATATCCTGTACGCCCGAATGCTCTGCCATCTTGTATCTAAAGAATTTCCGACCTTGGTTGATCGCGGATGCTGTCTTTAAGGCGACTCGCATGAACAAGCCAGCAGCTCCTTTGTTGACTAAACATCCTATAGCTTTCCACGTTAATTTAACTCTGAGCTTCCTTCAAGAATGTTGATTTGATAGTGCGCTTGCATTTTGTGCATGACCAAGTATCACTGACAACGATCTTCCTGGGGTTTCACTCAATTTACATACGTTGCAAACGCGATTACTATATCGCAATCGTTTAGGAAGCAGCAGCAGTCGCCAGAAGAGCAATGAGAGATGAGCAAGCCGGTTTACTAGCTGCCTTAGCTCTCCCCAATTTTGTTCATGAAGTGGGAAAGACTGAGAAGCAGATGCTGAAGAAGTCGAGTAGGTCCTGGTCGTTCACTTGCATCCCTTTCAACTTAGCAGAATTTCTTGCCTCGACTTTTTGACACCTGTTGTTCAGGCAAGGTTTTTTCATGTGGTTTCTGGCATTTGCCTTCATCTTTGCAGATCATCAACAATACCTCACTCAAAAAGGTCATATGCGTGTTGATAACGAAGTTGGTGTTGTTCATCTTGAAGGCTACCCTGTACTGCTGCAAAATAATTTGAAGTATGTTGGCCTAGCGTTTATTTTGTCATACAGTTCACCTATTAGTGCAGTTTGGTACTTTAAGAACGCAGTTTCTTGATATGTTTTCTCACGCAATCTTGGTTTCGCCATCATGTTTCGCTCGAGCCGCTATTCTGGAGGGTGTTAACGTTCCACTGCAAGACTTTCTAAGTTTCACAGATGGCTCAGAAAATTTTCCTCCCACGTATTTAGGTGGGTTTTCTGCGAATTTGTTGCAGTGCTTTCTAATTGTTACCAAATAAGGTTTAACACTTTGTCACCTTCCCCTTTCCAGTTGGACATTCGCTCTTCTCACTTGTTTCATTATTTTTACGGGCACAGTTCTTAGAAGCTAAAAATGAGTGGCCGGTCACTATTCAGAGCGCCGGTGCTTCCTATCATGCCAAGGTTTTGTTCAGATCTAGTCTCTTAAGTACTTTTCTTCGAATGTATTTCAATGTTTCTGGTTGCAGAGGAAGGTCGTAGACTTGGCTCACGCTCGCCAACGCCTGAAACATTGCGTTCTGTCACTAGCCTTGACTGATGTGCAAATGGGCGAATTAATGAGTGATAGTGCTAGCAAAATTGGTTAGTTGGATCACTTATCCGCTTCCTATCCATTCATTTTACCCTGCGAACATTGCGTAGGAGCACTGCTGGACGAAGGCTTATTCCTGGACGTGAAAGCTCGTGTTGTTTTGGGAAAGGAGCTGAGGAACTACGAATCTCAAGCAATTGTTATTGAGGATAATGGACTAGAACTGGCCAGAGTATGTCTTTATTTCAGAACTTGAGATCTTCAAATTGAAGGTCCTTTT